TCAGAAATTGATTTTTAAAAATCTGTTAATAAACAAGGAAAAGATCTGTAGGACTGGGGATATAGCTCAGTGACACAGCGCCTGCCTAACAAGCACAAGGTCCTGAGTTCAATTCTCAGTACCAAAAAAAGGAAGGAAGGAAAGAAGGAAGGAAGGAAGGAAAAAAAGAAATGCAGATTCTCCCACTTTGGGCATCACGCCCAGCAGTCTGCTTGAACACACCCTCAAGAGGATTCTGGGAACCACCTCCCTTGTAGACTCAGGGCCATGTGGCCAGGAGGAGGAAGGAACCACATTCTAATTGTGGTGACTCACAATGTTGCATGAAGGAAGCTGGACCTAAGAGCATACTGTAGGATTCCATTTACTGTATATGGAGATCAAAAACTAGCAAAAGGAATCCAAGATATTAGAAATCAGGATGGTTATTACTCTTGGAGGGGAGAAGCAGTAACCAGAAGCAGGGTTGAGATATCCAGGTGCTGGCTGTATTCGGTTTCTTGATGGGAATGCTGGTTACACAGGTTTGTTCAGTTAGAGAAAATTTACCAAGCTGTTCACTTAGGATTTGTTCTACTTTTCTAGTCTACACTATGAAGCAGTGAAATGCAAAAAGTGGATTTGTTCTTTTAAAAAAAAATAATAAGGTTTTTAATCGTTCAAAACCTGGTAATTAGCCAGGCCTGACAGTGCACACCTGTATGGAGAACTGAGGCAAAAGGATCATTTGAGACCACAAGTTCAAGACCTGTCTGAGCCAACACAGCGAGACTGTGTCTCAAACACAAGACATAGGAATTTAACCTGGTGAAAGTGGAATGGGAAACCATGTGTATACTGATGAGAAAGTAAATGCGTACAGTGTTTTTTCAGAACAATTTGGCAGCACCTCTAAAGCTTAAAATAATCTAGAGATTCTGCTTCTAGAATTGCACCCTGGAATTCAGGCATCCAGCTCTCTATAGTGTGAGACTGTTCCCTGGACACTTTTGGATGAGCATAAAAGAAACAACATAAATTTCCTTCTGTAGAGGACGGGGTACATAAACAGTGGGAAACTGAGCACCTGTGAGCACTGGCACAGCTCAGCACCGCGTGGCAGTGTGGGAAAATGTGCCCTGTGCCATTGCTGACCTGCAGAAGCGAGTTACGGGCATTCAGTGCTGGTCCACAGTGGTAAGGAGAGAGAAAAGTGCATGCAGGTGCACGTGAAAGTGTAAGGAAAGACATGAGATTGTTTATATTATTTGTCTTGAATTTACCACCTGTGAATAGGGATGTGGGTTGTCATTTCCTTATAAACCCCCATGTTAATTTTTTGCCCACTAATCATTTTTTTAAAGTTTGAGGGCTGGAGGTACAGCTCAGCAGCAGCACAGTGCCTGCCTGGCATGCACAAGATCCTGAGTTCAATTCCAGCTACAAAAGAAAAAAAAAACTTTTAGCTTTACTGTTCAAAAAATTCTGAGCCTTGAAAAATGTTTATTGGGAAAAAGAAATAGTATTTGTGTAGTCTAAGCACATTGAGAGCTAGGATTTGTCTTACATGCAAACACACATCAAGCAGGAGATGAGTAATATTCTGTAAAGTGATTTCCATCAGTACTACTTATAGAAAAAGTTAAAAGGCTTGCGTCTAGATACATTTCTGCTACCTAGGAAATTCACTTGGGTAAAACAATTCTTTTCTTGACAAGGACATTCTTTTGACTGTGTTTGCTGGTGAGGTCATAGACCAAGTATTCTGTTTGAGAGACAGTTTGGTTAACATTGTGCGTATGTGCAAAAGTGACCACAGCTAGCAAATTACACAACGCAGCTCTGGACACCAGGCCCTGCTTGCTTGTTAATGAAAAACCTTTTTGCATTTATAGCCAAGAACTCAGTTGAACCCATTTAGCTAGAAACAAGCTTGTGAGGGAAACCTAAACCCTTGTGGTCTCAGAGAGACACTATAAACACATTTGCAGTGGTTTCTCACTCACTCTTAGGTTTCCTGTGAAATCATGAGCAAAGGGCCCACCTGACCCTTCCCCTTTGAATCAAGAGGCCCAAAATGTTTGAGATGCTGCTCTGCTGGATTGCGTCAGTTACAGTCCTCGTGACCCAAGGCAGTGTCAAATAAAGGCACATGGATTACCTGCCCTTTAGGATGAATCCGAATTCTAGCACCCCATTAGTGGGAGAGCGAGTGCTTTCTGGAATTACCTCCATTTTGTACATGTTCACTTTCAATAAATTTTATTGTCATGGATGTAAGCACAAAAATACATCTCTACTAGGTGCCTTTTCTTTGAAATTCATATATAATATCAAGCAGTCAATGTCCAGCTCTAACAAGGAAAGATAGCAGTGCCCAGAATCTGTTATCTGCTTCCTTCTTCAGGCATCCAAACGCTCAGAGGTGGGCTTCACTTGGAAAGCTGTTTGAAATGTCCTGGGAAATCTGGGTTTAGCCAGATTCACAGAAGTCTTCCTTCTTACAGAGGGTCCTACAGGCTTCTCTCTGCAGCTTCTAGTTTTTAAAGTCCCTGTCTGGTAGGTCCCTGGGCTTCTCAGGCTTGGTAGATTGAAACCTGAGCTCGTGAACATCTCCCTTAACCAGTTTCTCCATTATCCAAGCTACATCAGTGAAACCCTAGTCCACTTATGTCTCTCTAGAGATCTGGAATGAGTTGTTGCAGTTTATCCCTCACTTCATTTCTAACCCATAAATCCCGTCTACTTCTGAAACTGGTCGTGAATTTACTCACTGTTCAGCATCCACTGCCACCATCCTGGTCTTGAAGACATCACCTTCTTCCACGCAGGTTATTGTGCATTCTCTGAATGTGTCCCCGCCTAGCTTGGCCCCTCCACTTGTCTGTTCTTCACATGGAACCTGTGGTTGTCTTAAAAACTGTAACCTGAAGCTGGGTGCGGTGGTGCATGCCTATAATCCCAGCACTCAGGAGGCTGAGGCAGGAGGATCACTGTGAGTTCAAGGCCAGCCTGACTCATATAGTGAAAACCTGCCTCAAAAAAGACAAAAAAAAAAAGTAACCTGACGTTGTTTCCTCACTTCAAATCCTCAAACCACTGTTAGGATAAAGTGCAAAGTCCTCAGGTCCCTGGGGCCCACACAATCTGATGCTGCCCAGCTGCTGTAACATTTTGCACCAATGTCCTGACCTGCTTACTGTGCTTTCTTACAGGTTAGAGAAGGCAGCTAAGCCTTCCCAGGCCCCAGACCTTGCTCATGCTGCTCTCTGTACAGGGTTGTTTTCACACCGTCTCACCAGCACCTTCCAGGCTTGCAGCCCGGGGCTGCCTGTGCCTGGGGAAGAGGCTACAGCCCTGTAGTGTCAGAGCCTGGTCCTGTGCCTTACCACCCTGCTAGCACTCTGCACAGCTGTGCAGATGTGGTTACTCAGATGTGCTTCCTACTAGGCTCTCAGCAGGCTCTGCTCACCTCGAGTCCCACTCTGTCCTCGGGGCCTGCTAGCAGGTAGCCTGTCATGTCGTGGGTGCCTTCATGATAAACAGAGGAATGAAACCCATTTCCCCAGCTTTGTGAATAGCATTACTTTACTGTTTGATTCTGTATCCTACAAAGAAAGCTGATGCAGAAATGACCTGAAAGCTTTTGTTATACCCTGGGCTTTTATTTTTTAGTACATGTTTGTTATACAGGATAGTAGTGTTCATTTCAGAGACTTGCTATAATGCATACAACCTACCTTGATCATTTTCAGTCCCTTTCCTCCCTCTCCCCTCTATATTCCCTCTTCCCGTCCTCTGCTCTGAGAATCTATCTTCTAGTTTTCTATCATATCTCTTTATTTTACTCATTTACTTAAAGTTTCTCATACAAACGAAAACATACAATATTTGTCATTATGACATATGGCATATTTGTGTAGCATGATCCATTTTCCTGCAAATGACATGATTTTATTCATCTTTAGGGTCAAGTAATATCCCATTGTGGATATATTATACATATGAGATACAATATAGACATTTTTTTCTTTTCTTTATCCATTCATCTGTTGACAACATCTGGGCTATTCCCAGAGCTTAGCCATTGTAAATTGTGCCACTACAAACACAGGTATCCATGTATCACTGATGAATGTTGTCTTTAATTCTTCTGATGCCCTAGACTTTGATGGTGTCCCCTAGGGATGTGGTCTATCCAGAACTTCTCTATGGCTTAGGAATAAAGTCCTCTCAGTCCCTGGAAAGTTCTGGGGTGCAAGTGGCCCTCTTTGCTCAGGACTTGGGACATCTCCAATTTAGTTTGTTTGCCCTCCATGTGGGGTTTGCCTTTGGTCATTTCCTTCGATCCTGCCTTGATTTTTGCCTTGCTCTGCAGGGATGAAGAAACAGACTCTGCCTAGGATAGGCCAGAACTTGTGAGAAAATCCTGCGCCTACCTATCTTGATAGGGCCTGTGCCTACCTATCTTGATAGGGCCTTTTGCATTCTCCCTTCTGACAGCTCTCAGGCCACATGCTGTCTGCCATCTGTGAGGAGGACAGTGGCCACCCAAAAGTTGGCACAAAAGCCCAAGACTTGAAAGCAGATTGATCCCAGGAAGCCCCTCAGTGGCCTGCAGTCTTGTTTCCTTGACAGGTAGCAGCCTGGGATCAAACTCCAGCTGTGAATATTGTCTTGCCCCACGTGGTGTTTTAAGGCTCTTAGTGCTGGTTTTTAAAAGCAAGATTATCATGGACAAATTCGAGTTTCTGTGATCTCCCTGAGTAGAAGGAAATCTAATGGAACTAGCCCACTACAACTGACAGGAGCTGTGGAAAGGCCTGCCCCATCTGCCTCATTTCTCTTATCCTGTGGGTTTGTAGTGTGTGAGTTTGCAACCCCCTTTTTAAGCCATATGCACACATATATATTCAAGAAAGTCTTTGTTGACATTCTGTTTAATTGTTTTTTCTCTGTCCCCACTTCCTTCTTCTGCTCTGTTTTCTCCTTCCCTTTCCACTGCCTCTGCCATTTTACAGGTGCTGGGATTGCTGGTATGGACACTGATTGCTGGAACCGAGTACTTCCGGGTCCCTGCATTTGGCTGGGTCATGTTCGTAGCTGTATTTTACTGGGTCCTCACCGTCTTCTTCCTCATCATCTACATAACAATGACCTACACCCGGATTCCCCAAGTGCCCTGGACAACAGTGGTAAGGAGGCCGTGGGAGGTGTTCCTGTGCAGTGTCCACTAGCTAGGACGACTTGTGGTCTTTTAGCCAACTCAGGGTTGCCCCCTGCCAGGTGGGCCGAGCCATACAACACCCAACACAAGATATAAAACTGGACACAGAAGGTGTAGGAGTTTCTCCGAGGCTCAGAAGCCTGAATCAAGCAAAGCTGGTTTCTAGTTTATTAGTCCCTGTGAACAGCGTCACCTGAAAACAGCGGTGTCAGGGCACCGACGTCTGCAGATCTCCCTTCCTTCCTCTAACCTCTCCTTAGCCCTCCTCACACCACAGCTCCTAGCTGTTAGGATATGTGTGTCTGAGGAGGGAGAAGGAAAAACAAAGTCTACGGTGGCAAACAACAGGCGCCTTACAATGGGAAGCAGGAGTCGTCCCTCGCAGGTGTCTGGTTTCTGTGCTGGCTCTAGGCACCATGCTACCCACAGCTAAGCAAAGTAAACACAGGCTCGGGCAGCTGGGAATGTGCGGACACTGCCCTGAGCCATGTGCGATAGTCGGCTGTGTGCACTCTGCTCAGCCCAGATAGCCAGGAGCTCTTCAGAGAGGAAGGGACCTTTAGCTTTACCCTGAAGACTGAACACATGTCCTAGGTGGGTCCATGGAGCTGGAGGATGAGTTCTCTTTCCCTTGGAGCACAGCCGTCTTGTTGGGGAGTTTGAAGTGGCCATAGGACTGGTTTTTTCTTTTAAATCCAAGTTGTGCCACACTTATGTATGTATTTCTAAAACAAAGCTCTGGAGTGATACTATTTTTAGTTTGTTTTCAACCAATATATTAAAAATATCCAGTTCCCTGTAACTGGTTTATGAACCAAATGTGAAGCACAGGCCTCTTGGGGGTTGTAGGCCGCAGTTACACTGGCGGGCTTTCAGACAGTGCAGTCTTTGCTCCAATGCACCAGTCTTTGTGCTAAGTTGTTCTTCAGAGCTAAGCTAGGAAACCAGTTTCCTTTCTTCGTACAAAACAGGTTGATTAACTATTGCCTGCTTTCCCATATCCAAGGGTGAAAATTCTCCATGAGAGTTTCAGGGATGCAGTATAAGTTGTGACAGAATTTCAAACAAGGTACCTACACCTGGCTGTGGGCACAGTCCAGCTGGAATCACTGTCCTGCTTCCCCAGTGGGCAGGAGGAAGGGCAGCCTCACAAGGACACTGCATTCAAAGTCAACAGCACTTGGAAGTCACAGGAACTATGGGAACCAGGGGAGGAAGGCTCGAAGTGAGGGGGCATTTAAGGAAGGGCATGTTGGAGAAAGATGAGTCTGACAGCCACTCCTGAAGAAAGTGACTGTGTACCTGGAAGAAGAGGAACTTGGCCAACAGAACAGGGAGGCAAAGTGTTAGGGCGCAGCCATGAGCAGGAGCTGATCTCCACCCTTGCTTAAGTCTCAGTTTCCAGTTATGCCATCTAGATCACAAATGTGCAGGCCTGTTCTATAAGGATCGCACCGTAAGTATTGCCATCTTGTTGAGCTGTGCTGTCTCTGTCACTGGTCAGCTCTGCTCCCAGCGTGAAGATGTCCACAGGCACTTTATGAATGAATGAGCACGGCTGTATTCTAGTCTAGTTACACAGGGGTGGACTATATGTCCAGTCCTACTGTCCGCAGGCCAGTTTGCTCCCCTCTGATCTAGATCATAAATATTCTCTTCAGGCCTAAAGCATTGGCTTTCTTTCCTTTCCTTTTTTATTTTTTTAATGTGCCTCTATAGATACTTTTTAAAAAATTAACACTACTCCCTTCTGGCACTCCATGGTTTTAAAACCTCTAGATAAGCATTATCAGAATTTATCAACATAAAGTATGTCCCCATTTTATAGGTAAGGAAAATGAGGTTTACACCTGAATAGATTTATGCACATGGAGCTCCAGCTCCCTTGATTTGCACACACATCTTTTTCTGATCTCCTGCTCCATGCACTCCACTGCCTGGCAGTAGATAAGAACCCCAGCTGGAGGCCAAGACACAGGACCTTTAGTCCCTGCAGAACTGTTTTGTCATTTATGTCGTCAAACAAGGCAGAGAACCTCCAGGCCAGGTGTTGCACATTCGCACATGTGAGGGCTCAGACAGCTCACACAACTGAGGAAACAGCTCAGGGCTGAATTCTAGGCCCCCAGGCACTTCCTTAGCATCCGAAACATGTTAGGAATATGTCACAAAGACATACTTTGGATTGGTAAATTGTTTAACCCAGAAACCTGGCTTTTCAAGTAAATTCTCCTTATTATAAAATAAGGAGCCAGTTTTTCAAAACTTCATTTTATGCTGCTCAAATAGGTCTGACTTCTGATTGGGGCTTTTATTTACTGTGCCACCTAAGAACTTCTCAGAGCCTTTGGGAGCCAAGTTGATGGTGCTCACTGGAGATCCGGAGCTGACACCAGAGCAGGTCTCCATCTGCTGACACTAAAGGCTCAGACCATGTCTCTGTGTTACTCACTGCCAGCAGAGGCTCTCACAATAAATGGGGTTGCAGGGTCACCCTGGCTGCTGTGTTGCAACCCAGTGCAGGAATGTTGCAAGCCCTTGGCCAGGATCCATGCTGAAGCAACTGGTAGACCTACAATCCGGCTGCTCAGGGCTGTGCCCCAGGCCGTTGGCATCACTGGACACTTGTCGGATACACAGAATTGTAGGTCCCACTCCACCAACTGAATCAGAAACCCTGTAGAGGCATGGGAATCTCTACTATCCCAAGCAGTCCAGGTAATTCCTAGGCACCTAAAATGTGGGAACACCAGTTCAGAGATAATTACAGCATGACAGTCCCTAACCAAAACTTTTAAGCCAGATATGAAGATTGGCTTTTTATAGTTTTAGAAAGATAATAAGGTGATTTGGTGCGTTCACTATGATATGGGCATGTGGCCCCAAGTCTGTGGCGGCACTTGAATACAGCACACATATATTTGTATAAAAATGTGAATTTTCCTGATAAGAGGGACAATCAAGAGCACATCACCCCCATGTTCCAGTCCAGCTTTGCTGCCATATGACTTTAGAGTTTGTTCTTGGTTTTTTGCATTTAGGGATCCCCGGACTGTGGAGAAGATCTAGATAGTTCCCAAAAGCTTCACTGGGAGAGAACTCCTGAGACACTGCAAAAACTAGTGTTTCATGGCCTAGCTCAGCACGCAGTACGGCATGAGCTTTGCACTGGAACCCACTGTGAGAAGTACCCCACCCCTTAATGTGTCTGGAAAGGTGCAAACTCACCTGTTTCCTCCTTTAATATGCAGCAAAAGCTACAGTGGCTTCTCAACAGCTTCCCCGAGCTCCTCAGCTACTAATGTCATTTACTCAGAGAGGCTTGGGTGTGTTTTATGATAAATGTGACATGAGCTAAAGTTCAGAGCAGGAAAATGTGTGCAGTGCACTTCCCAGGGACTCATCCTTGTTGCTCACCTCTGCTGACCTGGCCGCAGGCCCTGTGAGCTCTCCAAGTGGCATGTGTGGCTCCCATTCCTGGGTGCCCACTATGAATCAGATGTCACCCTGGGTCCTTTATATTTTGGGCTATTCCATTCTTACAATGACTCTCCAAAGATAGAATGGATTGCCCCCATTTTGCAGATGAAGAAATGAAGGGATTCAGAGGATGTTAGGAGGCAAGAACTCTAAGACCAGGCACAGCTGTCAACCCTGGAGTTTGCCTGGCTCCCAGTTTCTCTTGCCACCAGAAGTGGCCATTTGCATTGTCCCATCTCAGCAGGGAGGGCCGGCACGGATGTGTCTTGGTAATCTTTTCAGCCTGACATGAGCACATGACTGAGAAGCAAAGGCCTAAGGGCATAACATGCTGCTGGCTTTGTCTGCACCCCCAGTGGGACAGTGTTCTGACCGGGACTCGAGTCTTCCTGTTCCCACTAACCACTCAATCCAAATGACTTACTTAGTCTGCAAGCATGGTCAAGTGTGAAGCAACTACCTCTAGATGGTCTCTAGCGGACGCAGTCACAAAGCAAAAATAAGAAACAGTAGAGCTCTGCACCATTCATACTGTTTTTAACAGTGGAAGAGACTTTTATGGCTCTGCCATCTTGTAAATTTAGAGTATAATCAGTTGGATATCTACAATAGAGAGATCCAGTACAGCATTGGCTTAAAACTTATTTCTCTCTCCTATCCTGAGCCATATTTAAGTCACTTGTCAAATGAGACCAAAAAGCACCTTAGCTTCCTCCTATGAGTGGCTCTGCCATCTTTAACACTTGACTTCTGGCAACTTCAGCACCTGCCATCACATCTACTACCATGTTTTGTAGTCAGGGAGAGAAGGTAACGAAAAGGACAGAGAGAGGGCACACTTCTTTCCTTTAATTTGTGATGCTGAAGTTGCTTCACTTGCATCATGTTAGCCCAAATGTGGTCCTCCCAAGAAAAACTGAAGAGAAAATTGCATTCCGAGTGGCCATGTGCTCAGCTAAAAGTGGCTGCCTTATGAGAAGACTGAACAGATCCCAGAAGATATCGAGCAGCTCTGCTGCAGAGGAAAGAGCTGAGAAGTGACTTGTCCGAAGCTGTGTAGCCAGTGGGCTGAGAGAGAGAAGTCATTTTTAAGTCTGTTCCCTCACCCACCTCCGTTATCCTGCCCCCTTTCTTCCCGTATCCTGCCCCCTTTCTTCCCGTGGCCTGCCACACCCTCCCTCCTCTATTTCCCTCACCTGTGGATTCAAAAGACAGCTTTTCTGCATGTAGCCAAGAATGTATTCTACCTGAAAATTCCTAACAGATGATATGGGCAGCCAGGAGTGGGGCCTGAGAATGAGCTTTTTAAAGAGACTTGTGCTGCTCAGGCTGCTGGTCCCTGGATCACACTCAGAGTAGCACTGAGCAACTCTAGCAGCTGTTGTGGACAGGCTAGAGTGTACAGAGGTATCGAGTATGGTCCTAGATCCCCGATCTCCCAAACGAGTGTTCGGCGGAGGTTAAATAAAAAGAGACAAACTGTATGATTTTTAGGGCTCAAGGAGGGTCAAAACCCTTTAATTAAGCTCAAGGCTTCGAGGGTAGAGACAAAGGATTCTCTGGGTCAGTCCACTTATATTAGGAGCAAGGACAAAGGTCAGAGAAACTGAGGAAAGTGCAGGCAATGAGCAGGACCTTGGGAGTCACTTCAAGGACGTCTCCAAGTCATGAATCAGGTCAATTCAGTAGCACTGTCTTATCATGAAGACATGCTAGAAGTGAGACTGTAGGAGGAATCTTTGCAGCTGCAGTCTCTACCTAGCTAATTGGGGTTGGAGCCAGAGTGTCTGCAGCTGTGACCTTATCTTGCCCTTTGGGGTATCTCTGGCCTCACAGGCCACTACAGGCCTCAGCCAGAACCATGATTCATAGAGGTTCACTTACTATGAATCAGCTCCTGTCGCCAGGCAAGGGGCCTAGGCCTAGGATAGACTCAGACAAACATAAAAAGTCAATTAGTAAAATTTAAATCCTGCTCAGAGCCGCTTCATAGTGGTCTCCAACACAGAGGTGATTTTCACGGATGTCAGTCTTTGCCTGCACTGTATCTTCCATCAGGTGTGAATCGCATGCCAGGCGTGGTGACATAGGCCTGTAATCACAGTGCAAGGAAGCTGAGCCAGGCTGAACTCCACAGCAAGACCCTGTGTCACAAAACAAAATGAAACAAAACAAAACATGAATGGCTCTTCCACTGATACTTGGTGGAAGCAGCAGGTGAATAGAACATCTCTGCTGTCCCAAAAGACAGACTCTGATGGAAGAGACAAATGGATTCAGGCTGAATTACATATAAATACTGAAAAGAAAAACCGGTGAGATTCCAGGGACCCAGAGGAAGGAGCCATTCTTCCCTCTTCTCATGGAGAGCCGTGGAAGATTGGGAGGTCCAGGTGCTGACCCCAGTTCGCTCTGGCTTCCATTAAACTCTCAAGGACCCAGTGTCAGACACCAGCCCAAGAATCTTGCACTTATGGCTGTCTCATTATCCCTCCGTGTCCATTTCCTTCTCCAGTCATAGGATTTTCAGCCACGGCCACCCCAACAGTCTACATTTCCCAGGCACCCCCAGCCTGTGGTACAAAGTGAGTTCAAGGCCAACCCTGAACAGGTGGTCTCAGAACCTGGCTACTGGGACACAAGGAGAGGAAGTGTGAAGGCTCTGGGTGGACCCTGAGAGCAGGTCTGTCCCTCGGTCCCACTACCCGCCTTGGTGGCTTGGGTGCAGCTGTGCTAGAAACACACCTCCCGACCTGTGCAGTCTGGCTCCTATGCCTGTTATCTGAGAGAGGAATAAATAATCTCTCTTAAATCACTCATTTGGGTTCTTCTTACCAAATCTATGCACTGACTGTCCATCACCTCTGGCCTTCTTTTCCTCGTCTGCACACCTGGAATTTCTCTTGCTACTCAGAGAAGCCATAAGCAGGCTTCCTCTTAAGTCCCTTTTTGTCTCAGGAGCTAATGGAAAGTTAGAATCAGTCAAGTAAACCAGAAAGTACTATACAAAATAGTGGAAACATAAGCCACTTATACTGGTTTAGTTTTGATTGGTTTTATTCTATTTTATTTTCCTTGGTTTTATACTTTAAAAAAAAAAAACTTTTATATACCAAAAAGGGATCAAAAGCATAGCTCTGGTGCTTTGAATTAGAAAGTGCTTTCATTTGTATGAAACACCATCCTCTGGTACATGGCTGTTTTGCTTTTAAAGTCTGTCCAGTCATGGGGCAGGCCGTGGCTGGAACCAGGCTCCTGGAGCGCAGATTGTCACTCGGGGCAGGAGGCTGTGCAGGCAGGGCCTGTGTGGCTCATAGTCACGCCTGCCAAACTGCGCTCTGAAACTCTACGAAACCAAACTTTCTATTTGCAGAGAAGGGATTAGACATTATTAGCAGTTTAGGCTTTCAAACTTGTAGGCACCAATAACATGGCATGGGGTCATCAAAGAGTTGCCAGTTATTATCTATATGTGCCTTCACTGGAGAAAAAGAGCCTTTTTAAAACTGGTTGTGGTGGCACACACCTGTAATCCCAGCACTCAGGAGGCTGAGGCAGGAGGATCTTTGTAAGCTCGAGACCAGCCTGTGGTACAAAGTGAGTTCAAGGCCAATCCTGAACAGCATAGCAAGACTTTTGTCTCAAAAAGACCAAACAAATTTTTTAAAAAAGCCTTTTCTAGGTAGAAGCAGCTATCTGAAAGATAACAAGACATATTATGGTAACCATTTTTGATTTACTAGTGGCTTGTTTCGAAGTCCTTTATTGCATTCACTGTTTTGACTTTATTGTTTATTCTATTCTTTCCTGTTTGATTTTTGCTATGTCTGAAAGTATCTACATCTATTTTGAAGCAACAAAAGGCATTATGGTAACTATTAGATTTTGGAGTCCTATATCACTTATACTGGTTTAGTTTTGATTGTTTTTATTCTATTTTATTCTCTTTGGTTTTAATCTTTTTTTTTAATTAAAAAAAGCCTTTTTTATACCAAAAAGGGATCAAAAAGAAGAGCTGCGGCTCCTTACTCCCTCCAAAAGGAGCAGCCGGCCACCTCCTCTGGGATCCTGTGTTATCCCAGAAGCTCTGTCTTCGCCAGTGCCCAGACATTTCCAGGAACTGTCGTTTGTGCTCGGGGAGCTTTGAGGCCTTTCAGCTTGAGCAGCCGCAAATTGAGGGCCTACTCCTCTTCCTCCCATGCCAGTGAACCTCGGTGAGACTCTAGAGTCTTCCTGTGTCCTCTTTGAAGTCGAGCCATGCTGGTGTCTTGCTTAAGCTCTGAAACAATCTCAGAGACTGATTTCCTTGCTCTTCTTTTCGTGACCATCTTACCTGTTTTCACTGCAGTACCCCCAGCCAGGCACCCCGGTACATATTTATCTGTGGGCGATGAAATAAGCCCCAAGAAGCCACAGTTAGGCCCTTGGAGATGGGAGCAGGGTCTTGGGATAAGCCAGGTACCCCAGTGGGGTGCTGTGTGGAAAGACTACCTCTCACCAACTGCCTTCCCTGTTTCTCTCCGAGGAAACAAGAGTTTTATCGTCTTGGCTGCATGGGCAAGGTCAGGGGTATGCTGGCCCGTCTGAGTGCCCCCCCAACCCTCATCTTCACCCCGTGTGGGGACTCAAACACAATGGATGCCCCCAATACAAGTCCAGAGACATCTGTCCCAGTAGTGCCTGTAATCCCAGGAAGAAGTGGCGTCCAGACACCCAGCAGTAAGGGAAAATTCACACTGAGGTGTGAGTGCTGTGACCAGATCAGGGCCTGCCTGAGGAAGGGCCTTTTGTAACTTTTTAAATGGAAAAAAATCAAGTTACATAGTTCCGTGCCTTCCTGTGTGTGGGGTTTGCCTGTGCCCCAGAAGGAAGGGTAGGGTGTCTGCCACACTGGGTTTAGTGTGTAGTACCTGACGGAAGACCAGAAGTGGGGAGAATAGCTTTCAAAGCAGTATGGAATAGTTTTTTGAAGAAAAATAAGTTTAAGTTTGCTGGAAGAGGGTAGACAATGGAAATTGAAGCCTCCCCTTCCTCAGAGGTACCTATATTGAATTGTTTCTACATCTCTAAACAATTGGGAATTCTTTACTGGGCAAATAGTGTGTAGCACTTTGTAGTCTAGGAGGTGAGGTGGAAACTTTTTTGTTTTTTCAAAAATGTGCAGGTGCGTTCCTAAACCCAAACACAACACAATTCTAATGAGTCATCCTGGGAAACTAGGGCTTCTTGAGGATGTATATATATATATAATATACATATATATTATATATATATATTTGGTACATTTCAGTTTTTTGTTTGTTTGTTTTGTTACTGGGGATTGAACTCATGACATGCTTGCAAGGCAGGAGCTAAATCCCCAGCCCTATTGGTACATTTTAGATATACATGATAACATTCATCATAGGCAATTTGTACCTGTACGTGATGTATCTTGTTGCTGCTCCCCTCCAACTCCTCTTCCCTTGAGGCCATATTTCTAATGGCAGTTGAGTGTCAGGAGCTGCCAGAACCCAAGCATGACCCTGGTGGAGCCCCAGCTAGGCACAGTGTGGGCACAGGGCAGAGTGGTACCAGGAGTTGCCATCTGACAGTGCTGGGACCTGATGGAGAGGATTCTGTGGACCTTTCTCCCTCCAGTCAGAAACATGTGAGCTGCCTGGCTCCTTTCTGGCTCTCTGCGGAAAAGGTGGTAGACCACAGGAGCCCACGCCCTGAGAGTCATCTCGAGAGTCATCTCTCTTCCTGCCTCTGCCCAGCCCCGCCTCCTGGGGTGTGCAGGTAGACCAGGACTTACACCCACGGGAGGGTAGTTTCAAGTTTAAATATGACTGAAACCTAGTTACTTACGTGGCTTTACACACCTCCCATCTCGAAAAATAGGGAAAAAAAAGGCGAAGCCGAAGGTGGAATTAGTCCCCAAAGGGCTCTGATAATATCTGTCACCCCCTTTTTAGTTTTAAAAACTTGCTGTTCTTACAGAGGAGCTCGCATCCCTGTGCTGCCCTGCTGACTGCCAGGGGTTAGGACATCAGTCAGCCTGTGTGGGGGACAGATGCTCCCCGCTCTGGTAGGGACTGGTTAGGGTGCAGAATGCGTCCTCCTGTCTCTGTTGCTGCCTTCTTCACCACCAAGGTCCCCACGCTGACACCTGCAGGGGATGAGGCTGGAGAGCCGGTGACAGGAGATGCGTGGCCCAAGGATGTGCACGTGGTGTCTGTGCAAGAGCACTGTGAAGCCTCTCCTCCTGCAGGCACCTTCTCACAGCCTGGCTCCACTCCCTCCGCGGTCCACTTGGGCCCTGACCACACTGGGGACAGCTCTGGCCACTTCCTTATTTCTCTCCTAAGCACTGCCCTCTGCCTTTCCCAGGGCCTGTGCTTCAACGGCAGTGCCTTCGTCTTATACCTCTCAGCTGCTGTTGTGGATGCTACTTCTGTCTCCCCGGAAAGGGACAGTCACAACTTCAACAGCTGGGCTGCCTCCTCGGTGAGTGACACTGCCAACCCCTCTCCCCCCTGCCCCTTTTCCAAGGCCTACTGGGGTCAGGGAGCAGAGCAAAGCTTTCTGCAGGAGAAAAACCCACTTGCAATATGACAATGGGCATAGTGGTTTCAAACCTCAAAAGCTGATGTCCCCTCCTGGTGGCCTGCAGTGCCCTGAGGTTGGAACCTCTGCTGAGGCCCAGCCCCAGTGCCTGAAGCAGGCTGAGCTGGGGGAGCTGTTTGGAATTATTCTCCTGCCTGCAGCTCATTGAGATTGCAAACGCAGACTGTGTGATTCCTTTTATTTTTGTTTTGAGTAGAAATGTTTGCTTTTGCCCTGGGGATGCCTAGAAAAGTAAAGGCTAAAAAAAAGTTTGTTTGTTCCCCCCCCCCCAAAGGAATTGGAGAAGAGGGGAATTAAGTCAGAACTTGTACTTTTAGTTTATGTCTTGTGTTCTGTTTTCTAAACCAAAATAGTGTGTTATTTTTTCTAATTTTAAAGACTAGTTTTAAGAATTGCTCTGAGAGTGGCCTCGTAAGAGCCCACCCCCAAAAGAAGTCTATGGAGCAGGGGAACAGAGGGATAATGTTAAAACTGATGGTACCCAGGGGCTTTTATTTTTTATTTGTATTCATATTTTAAAATCTCTATTTAAAGGTAAAGCACACAGATACATGTGACATTAACAATTCATAAGTCTGGTAAGATTGGACTCTAGTTAACAACAGCCCTGGGCTGGAATGGGCATGTCACCTGCTTAAGAAGGACCTGTGCCCCGACCCCCGTTCAGAGCACACAAACCACCTGGGTTTATTCCTATTCAGGTCCACTCTGACTCATTTCCCTGAGCTGACCCTGTAGCAACCCTGGTCTAAAATTGCCTGTACTAAACTAGAAGTGATATACTTTCCTTAGTTCTATCCCACTATATTTACTCTTAAGTAACTCCCCGAGGTTATTTGAGCAAAACTATAGGACTTCCAGATATATTTGAACAAAATAAAAACAGCATGGCCAGAAACCGTTTGAGAAGGCGAGTAATTGAACCAATAAAGTAATTTTAGATGAGAAAGCCTGGAGCCAAGGGAATGTTGCATGGACATGATTCAGTGGAGGCGAAATGACAACTTTGCTAATTACAATGTGCCCTAAGCCCCTTTCTATTATGCTTTGTTTTTCCTAGTTCTTTGCCTTCCTGGTCACCATCTGCTACGCTGGAAACACATATTTCAGTTTTATAGCATGGAGATCCAGGACCATACAATGATTTACCATTTTGATAATTAAAAGGAAAAAAAAAAAAACCCCAGGAAGAATCTCACTGTAAAAACAGCTGTAGGTATAATGTATATTTCCAGACAATTGTATTTAACTAATGTTTTTATATATGTAGTTAAATTGGCTCACTGTGGTTTGTTACAATTAAACTGAATACTTATTTGCAAAGCGCTCTATCTTGTAATGAACTCTTTAAGAATCTTGTTGACATCGTCATAGACTTTGTTTTCTTAGATAATGCATAAACATAAATTGCTGATATGAAGAATGTGTCAAGTTTGTAAAACTTAACTTTTCAAATGCCAATTCTTTTGTGATTAAATGTTGCAAAATCTCAGGGAATTGTGTCTGACTGGAGAAGGAGAAACTGGAGGCTGTGTGTTCTGGGGACATTTTCATCTTCTCTGGCTGGGATGCCCAGGTGTGGTATTGTTAGGAGACACTTGTCCATAGTCAACAGGGAAGGCTGGCCTGAAAGAGTCATCCGAAGTCTGGGGGCCACAGTGCTTGTGATCCCCACTTCCCAATGAGTGGCTTAGGGAGCCACTATTGCAACAGGGCCTGAAGGGTGGTAATGGGCTCAGTGATGCTGCCAAGTGCAGGGCTGATGTGCTTAGATGCTTTGTTTTTATAATAATACATAGTGAAATTAGTAAATAACCATTAAAAGGATAAATATACACATAGACCTTTAGGTTATCTTGCAGACCACAGTGACATGTGAATCCTATGTGTCATGTTTTGTGGAAACTTCCGGACCACAAAGTTTCAATATTTCACATCTTTCACGAAATATGCTGTGGCATCACTAGTAGACAATGTCAGACAATGGGAAGAATTCAGAACTTCAAGGCAGATGTGTACTAGCGGAAGTGCTTTTAGGCAGGTTGGTTCTTGCTGATACAGCAATGATTTTTCAACATTAGTGTTAAAAAGAAATACAACCACGAAAACGTTAGAAGAGTTGATGACATGCACAGAGTTGCAGCCAGGCATTCTTTCAGTATGACTCCCTGCGGCATCCACCTCTGGCTCTTTTTGTTCAGCATCGCTTTTTCTTTCTATTGCATGTTGTTTTGTATGGGTCCTCTTTGTCTAGTTCTAATTCCATTTCCAAGCTCTGTTTATCCCCAGGGCTGAGAACAATCTTGGAAAGTGTCCATGAAGAATGTTTTTGAGTTGTAGGTGAGGCCCAAAGAACCAGTGGGAGGAGGCTCAAAAGATGAGTGCTGAGCACAGTGTACCAATGCACGGGTGTGGTTTGCACCCGCAAAACTACTCCAGGCCAACAGTTAGCAAGCTACGGGAGGCCGAACCTCTTCAGCACAACCCACGGGAGACTAGTGCTGTAGTCTGTTTTCGACTTCACTCCATATTATCGCAAGGTCAGCCACTTGTAGATTCTGCCGAAAATCTGAATGACTGGTCACAGCTAAGTAAGTACTCAGCTTCTCTGTCCCTGTCTCCCACGCAAAGCGTTTCTGCCTTCCACATCCTGTGTGAGTTTTAAGTACGTTATATCTCAATCAAGTTCCCCTAAGGCAAAAAAAAAAAAAAAAAAAAAAAAAAAAGCCAGTGACCTACTAGTCTCGTTCTGAAAACAGTGAAAAAGAGACCTGCTTTTATATACTACAGTATGTTATTTCTATAGCCATGACCTCGTTTAGAAGAGGTAACTTCTGGGGTGAAAAGTGCCATAAACCCACACTTTGAAATCATCTCCAAGTGGACTAGAATTTTAGGGTTTTCTTGAACTGGTAGCGCCAGAGATCTATTTGAAGAGAATGATGGCCAGTTTGTGTCCGCACAGGAGCGTTTGCTATTTTTTCTTTATTTGTGGTTTTTCAGGAGCAGCACTGTCTGCATTACCCTGAGAGTTCACCGAAACAGCAACCAAAAGTATTTTTTTAACTGAAAGGTTAATACTATTTCCTCTTTTGGATTCTGAGAATCCTTGTTCACAAACATTTTTTAAGTTTGGGTTTTTAGACAACCGTTGTTAGCTAAAGCTGTCGGGTTTAAACTGGATTAGCTTTAATGTTTTATTTTACAGAAGCAGGGAAAGAACAAAGCCTCACAGAATATAGCTAATGTGAAGAATAGGTTTCTGGATGGGGGCTGAAAATATTATTCCGGGGCCAGTGCACAGTGTGTTTACCATCATCTGCTCCTGGCATCTGTGTTCACCTCTCAGCCTTCCTTGTCCTCTGTGATGAAACCAGGTGGGTTTTTAATTTGATATATTTACCCACTCATGGAGACTCGATAAAATGCTTTAGGCAATTAATCTCTTTCTATTGCTATTTCCAACTCATAACCCCCAAAGATAAATATTTAGCCAATATCTGAAAACTACAGGAAAATCTAAAGACAAGAATGTTCAATACCAATAATTTATTTTCAGATTTTTAAATTGCTCCTTTCACAGCTCAGGTACTTGGACTCCGCTGTGAATCTAGGAATGGCCTGAAGTAACCAGCGTGACCCTGCCCCAGGGTCTGAGAGCGGTGGGGAAGCAGCATGATTACTCTGTGTGTGTGTGTGGGGGGGGTGTGAATATATAAAACATATTTTTATCAGTAAAGACCAGGTCTTTATTCAAAATAAGCTCCCAAATTTATGTCACCAGTATGGGACAGAGATTTTGAGAGTTTATGCAGCAGACTTCTTTTCTCCAGCAGGTTTCTTTGCTGCTGGTTTCTTGGTAGCTGCAGGCTTTTCCCCCAAAGGCTTCTTCAAGGGCTTCTTGGTACCAGCAGCCTTCTTTCCTTTCTTCTCTCCCACAGGCTTCTTGTCAGCAGCCTCCTTCTCTTCCAATTTTGCTGCCTGTGCGATTGCTTTAGACCTTTATGCAAGCTCTGTGCTAAAGGCCTTTCATCTACTATCTCATTAAACCCTCAGAGCCATGCTCTGCAGTAAACAGCAGATCCCCATTTTATAGATAAGGACACTGAGGTACAAAAGTCCAGCAATTTGGCAAAAGTCATCCATCTAGCAAATATGGAAAGTGAACATATTAACTGGAGTTTATATGAAGATTAGATCAAGTAAAGTATTTAAAACATATGGCATGTAGATGCTCAATAAATATTTTTCCTTTTCTGTTTTGAAGTTTTACTTTTAACCTGTTAAGTAGTTGTATATATTTCGGAGGTACAGTGTGATGTTGTTCTGATACAAGCACAGATTATAGAATGATTAAGTCAGTGCTACTCTTATTGAAGTTCCTGGAAAGCAGCTGAGGAAATGGGTAGCTGGGAAGTTATCTGCATTTGGCAGCTACAGGTGAGAGTCAGCCACCAGGAAGAGGATCGAAGAGGTGAAACTTCAGTAACGTTTTGAGCCACTGCACAATTCAGCCCTGAAACCCAGCCGCTCTGACTTTGTAATATACGAGCAACTCTTCTCACTTAACTCCAATTTCTTGCAACCTCATGCACCCTAACCAATGTCAGGACATCCTGGTAACACAGTAGCTGTTGGAGGAGCCCGACAGCAGTGACGGGACAGTCGGCTTACTTAGCAACCAGAGGCTCAGAACAGGATATCTGGAATGCTTGTGATTCACACCTTCCTATGGCAGCTGTTTAGGAGCCCAGGGGCATGGGGAGACCCCAGGAGGAGTAGAAGGGCAAATGGCACTCACAGGAGACCTCATAACCTGCCTCTGGTCATTGCAACAGGAAAGCTGAGTGTGGAGGAGCAAAATTTACAATGTGGCCTGCAACCATTTTCACTGTTCATGAGAACTCTGATGCATCTGAACGACCAATCGTCTCTCTTGAAAGGGAGCTCACATCTGTAATTCAGACTATTAAATGAAAAATCATTGTCTCTAGAAGAACAGAGACAGCCCCATATGGTGGCTCACATCTGTAACCTTAGCACTCTGCGAGGCCAAGAAAGGGAACTGCAAGCTTGAGCCCACCTCAGGCAATTTAGTGACTTACAGAGAATTTAACTTTAAACTTAAAACAAGACTGGGAATGTAGCTCTGTGAAAGTCCTTGGTTTAATCCCAATAACACACATGCATACATGCACACATGCACACAGAATGGACACTAGACCTAAACTCCTGACATGTATATAGAAAGAACAACTTACCCACCCAAGGTGGTGCTTTTTTATTCCAAATTAAAACCCTAACGTGTATTAAATGGTAAAGAATAAACAAGTTGTTCACAATGGAATACAACTTAGCAATGAAAAGCACTGAATGACTCATAGACATGACAGCATGAATGAATCACCAAAATATGCTGAATGAAAGAATCAGACCAAACAAGCAAAGCCATGACTCATCCAGACAGCTGACACTGACAGAAGTACTAACAGGTGCTATGCATGGTTTCAAGGTAATTCCTAAGGAGATTTAACTGACCTTAATAGACAGCAAAAAATTCTTTTTAATTAATATAGGTCTTACTTTAACTTGGTCTTGAACATCCAACAAAAAAGCCTAAGTACAAAACAGAGAACTGTTTGCAGAGTCCTCCAAACACTGCTCCTCCAACTTGAACCAACCACCCGTTGCTTGTAACCACAAAACAGAAAAGGGGGAGATTTTGGGAGTGGCTGAAGCTGGCCATTGATCACATGTGTGGAGTTGGAACAAGGCCCTCCCAAGAACAAAGAGCACCTGGGGCAAGACACAGGAACAAGCTGTGCAACTCAGAGAACACCAAGCCCCAAGGTGATCCAAGCAGTGGGCTGCTAGGCAATGGGGTGTCACGTGACTTTATCTTGCTATATAAAGATATATATAAATATATAAACACCAGTACAGTGGTTGAGCAGTTCATTTCCTCCCACCAGGAGAGAGGGCTCTTCCTGACTGCCCCCCCCACCAAAAAACAGTCAGACCAAATACCTACTATTGTATTTTACCTGTATAAAATTCTATTAAAGGCAAAATAAATCTATAATGACAGGAAGCAGATCTGTGGTTGCCAATTGGTGGGAGGTGGCAAGCTTAGTGAGAAAGGACCACAGGGAGATACTCTGAGGGGAGAAAAATAAATGTATCTTGTTTGTGATGGAGGTTGCATAGGTGTATACATCTGCAAAAATTTACAAACCATTCAGTTAGAGGTACACTTTTCGTGTAAATTGTATTTTATTCTAGTTTTGATAAGGTTCATTTTAGAAAAAAAGGAGGTTATTTTA